AATCAAAATTGGTCCCACTTTATCAGCAAGGGTCTTTTTTGGAGTGACCTTGTCTTGAGCGTGCCCAGCAACAAAAGGTGGAAGGACAAAGAGCAAGTCAACTTGGCTCTCACGTCTGGATTTATTGCAACCTTTGTTTTTTCTTCTGAACCAAAAACAAGGATGTGTGATTTGTGAATTTCCTACAGTGAAAATAGGATCACAGCTAAGTTAATGACGTGACTTTACTGAACAGAGTTAACTTGGGAAGTCCAGGAACGTTGTGGCAGCTGTGCTCATGAAAAAAATTTTTTTTGTATGTTTGTTTCATGTTTTTTGAGACAGGGTCTCATTCTGTCGCCCAGGCTTGAGCACAGAGATGGAATCCGGGCTATCAGCAGCCACAGCCTTCCAGACTCAGTGGATCCTCCCGCCTCAGCCTCCCAAGTAGTTGGGACTACAGGCACTTGCCACCACACCTGGCTAATGTTTGTATTTTTTGTAAAGATGAAGTTTCACTATGTTGCCCAGCTGGTCTTAAACTTTAAGCCTCAAGCGTTCTGCCCTCCTGGCCTGTTTTGTTTTTGGCTTAAGAGACACGGTCTCACTTTATTACCTGAGCTGGACTGCAGGGACACAACCACAGCCTACCACATCATCAAACTCCTAAACTCAAGCCTCCCAAGTACCTGAGGCAGGTACACACTACCACGCCCAGCTAATTTTCAAAAAATTTTTAGTGATGGGCATCTGTATTGCCCAGGCTGGTCTGGAACTCCTGGGCTCAAGTGATCTGCCTGCCTTGGCCTCCCTAAGTGCTGGGATTACAGGTGTGAGCCAACGTGCCCGGCCTGAAGGCATGTGAGTATTTACAGCCAAGCCTGAGTACCCGCTACAAGACCAGCCCAGTGGTGAGCTTTTCACACACGATACCTTTGTGAGTTTTCTTTGCCTTGTTTTTCAGGTGAAAATGAGGCCCAATGGGGTCAAGTCACTCGTTGGATTACACAGCTCAGTGACTTGGCTCACTGCAACCTCCACTTGCAGGCTCAGGCAATTCTCCTGCCTCCGCCTGAACAGCTGTGATTACAGGTGTGAGCCACCAAGCCCTGCTAATTTTTGTATTTTTTAGTAGAGACGGGGGATCTTCAGGTTGAAGCGATTCAATCTGCTCCTGAACCCATTTTTCCCCATTACTCAGACCATTCCCAGCAGAGAATTTCAAACAGTGAAGGGTTTGAGTTTCTGCTAAAACTATTGCCTATGTCCTTTCCATGCATAATCCTTTTGTTTAGTGATTTACTACGCACTTACTTGTGTCAAGCAGCAGGAAGCAGATATGTAAGCCTCCTACCCTCAAAGCACTCAGCCTAAATCAAAGTACCACATGGGAGCTACTTAAAAACGCTAAGACCCGGGGGACAGGGGACTAGGAGGAGGCGGCAGGGCTCATGCCTATAATCCCAGCAGTTTGGGAGGCCAAGGCAAGCTGATCTCCCGAGGTCAGGAGTGCGAGACCAGCCTGGCCAACATGGCAAAACCCCGTCTCCAATAAAAATACAAAAATTACCCGGGCGTGGTGGCACGCACCTGTTATCCCAGCTACTTGGGAAGCTGAGGCAGGAAAATCGCTTGAACCTGGGAGGCGGTGAGCTGAGACAGCACCCCTACACGCCAGCCTGGGTGGCAGAGCGAGACCCTGTCTCAAACCCACTAAACTTTAGTTACCATCTGACACTGACCAGAATAAAGCCATTTTGATTAAGGAGTCTGGAAGTCAAGAAATCACAACTAGCAGACATGTGGGCCATGGAACCCCCTCAGTGCAGCTGGGCCCCAACACTGGCTCTTCTCACTTGGGGTGTCCACTTTACTTGATGGAGAGTATCTGCAGCAGCCTCTGTCTACCAGCTCTTTCTACTGCTTTCTTCTGACCAGTGGATTCTGGTTTGACCCTCTGAAATGAGCTTGGGAGAGGCCCCTGTAATGTTATTTTCAGTCTCAGATAAACGGGAAGTCTTGCTCTGTCACCCAGGCTGGAGTACATTGGTGCTGCAACCTCCCCCTCCCAGTTTCAAGCGATTCTCCTGCCTCAGCCTCCTGAGTAGCTGGAATTAAAGGGACCAGCACCACGCCTAATTTTGGTATTTTCAGTAGAGATGGGAATTTCACCACGTTGGCCAGGCTGGTCTTGAACTCCTGACTTAAGTGATCCGCCCGCCTGAGCCTCCCAAAGTGCTATGATTACAGGCATGAGCCACAGTGCCAACCTGCATTTTAAACAATCTGAAACAAATGTATGAAAGTAGTGACATGGGTATAACTATCTTTCTAGAGGGCAGCTGAGCAATACCAGTATTGAATTTACACACCCTTTGATTCAGCACTAGATTTACATCTACTAAGACACTTTTTTTTTTTTTTGAGACGAAGTCTCATTCTGTCGCCCAGACTGGAGTGCAGTGGCGTGATCTCGGCTCACTGCAACCTCCACCTCCAGGCTCAAGCAATTTTCGTGTCTCAGCCTGAGTAGCCGGGATTACAGGCGTGAGTAACCATGCCCAGCTAATTTTTGTATTTTTTAGCAGAGACTGGGTTTCTCCAGGTTGGCCAGGCTGGTCTCGCACTCCCAGACTGAAGTGATACGCCCGCCTTGGCCTCCGAAAGTGCTGGGATGACAAGTGTGAGCCCCTGCACCCAACCCTATATACAGTAAGACACTTTTAATAGCATCCTAAAAATGAAACCAAGCCAGGAGACTAGTCTCGCTTCAATAAGTTGTGGTAAATCCACAACACAGTGTCCTATTGCACCCTAAAAAATGACAATAACAGCCCGGCATGGTGGCTCACGCTTGTAATCACAGCACTTTAGGAGGCTGATCACTTGCGATCAGGAGTTTGAGACCTGCCTGGCCAACATGGTGAAACTCCGTCTCTACTAAAAATACAATTAGCCGGGTATGGTGGCACATGCCTGTAATCCCAGCTAATGGAGAGGCTGAGGCAGGTGAATCACTTGAACCCGGGAAGCAGAGGTTGCAGTAAGCCAAGATCGTGCCACTGCACACCAGCCTGGGCAACAGAGACTTTGTCTCGGAAAAAAAAAAAAAGAATGGCTGGGTGAGGTGGCTTATGCCTGTAATCCCAGCACTTTGGGAGGCTGAGGTGGGCAGATCACAAGGTCTAGAGATCAATACCATCCTGGGCAGCATGGTGAAACCCCACTCTACTGAAAAATACAAAAATTAGCTGGGCGTGGTGGTACATGCCTGTAGTCCCAGTTACTCGAGAAGCTGAGGCAGGAGAATCGCTTGAACCCAGAAGGCGGAGGTTGCAGTGAGCTGGGATCGTGCCACTGCACTCCAGCCTGGCAACAGAGCGAGACTCCATCTCAAAAAAAAAGAAAAAGAATGACAATACTGATTCATTAACCTGTTCTGGCTGAAGAGCCTATTAAGAATCCTGTAAATGCTGTGTATCTTCAACCCTAGAAAAGGCATTTATTTAGCTATCAATTTCATTAGTTCATGGTTCTCTGAAATCTATTAGAGATCCCAAATTAAAATTAAGACTTCTTGATGTAGCTGGACACAGATGGCTCACACCTGTAATCCCAGCACGTTGGGAGGCTGAGGCAGATAGATGATGTGAGATAAAGAGTTCAAGACCAGCATGGCCAACACCGTCAAACTCCGTCTCTACTGAAAATACAAAAATAAGCCGGGTGTGGTGGTGTGCACCTGTAGTCTCATCTCCCCTGGAGGCTGAGGCAGGAGAATTGCTTCAGCACGGGAGGTGGAGGTTGCAGTGAGCCGAGATCACACCACTGCACTCCAGTTTGGGCAAGAGTGCAAGACTCTGTCTCAAAAAAAACAAATAAGATCCTCCATCTTCATGAGAAATTATGAACTAGAGGGCATTTTTTAAAAAAAATTTCTTTTAAAAAAAGAAAAAAAACCTTGATCTTGCCTCCTGGCCTGCAGAGCCTAAAATATTTGCTTTCTATCATTTTTATACATAAAGTTTGTTGATTCCTGACCTACACCAACACTTGATGTAGAGCAGGCAATCCATAAGTGTCTGGTGGAAAAATGCTGTAACAATAAAAATGAAAGGAATCTAAATTACATGTGCATGTATTTGCACAGAAAAAATAGGCTGGGTACAGTGGCTCACGTCTATAATCCTGGCACTCTGGGAGGCCGAGGCGGGAGGATTACTTAAGCACAAGAGTTCAGAGCTAGTGAGCTATGATCATGCCACTGCACTCCAGCTTGAGCCACAGAGCGAGACCTTGTCTCAAGAGAAAAAAGGAAAAAGGAAAAAAAAAAAGGGAGGTATAGCCAACCAAGCATTAACCATCTCAAAAGGATCAGTTATAACGGACGTCCACAGCAAAAGTTTGCTGCTTTTGGCTATCTTTCCCCACAATTAGCAAGGGTTGGCTTCATCATTTTAGAAATAACGCAACTGCATCTTTTAGAAAGGCGCTGTGGCCTCTAGGCCAGCAATTTGAGGGTATGGGTTGGGAATACCCCGCCCCAAAGTCTTCCTGACCAAATAGTGGAGCGGAAGAAAGCGAGAAGAACGTTTTGAACCTAAATAAGTCCACTTGCAATCCTTATCAAGCTCGTCGCCTCCCAGTTCGTCGCCTCCCAGTTCTGCTCCACCTCCGGGCCGGTAGGGGAGGATGTGACAGTCGCTGCAGCCCGGGATCCACCGGAGGCACCTCACCTCGTAGGCTCCTCACTGTGCCCGCGTCCCCCGGAGGTAGCAACCGGCCAGCCCGTGGGGCTGCGACGGGGACCTGCGGGAACGGCCCCGCGGGAACAGCCCCTCGCCCCCATGTATCGGCTAAAAGCCATCCACGCCGTTCCAGCCCAGCCGCGGCTTTGCGCGACGGTGCCTACTCTGCGCATGCGCCAGAAAACCTCTGCGCGTGCGCCTCGCTAGCCCCTCCCGTGCGCCCGGCCTCCCGCGGCGTCTTCCCGCCTGTCTCCTGCTCTCACTTCCGGAGTTTCCCAGCGACGGCCGTAAGTGGCGAGCGGAAGCAGCCTTAGAAGCCCGCTGTAAACGGCTCTCTCGCGCCACTTCCGGCCGGCTTCCGCAGACGGCGCTGGTGGTCGATCGTGAGGCGCGGAGGACGTTCCCCGCGGCCGGAGCCATGGAGATGCCGCTGCCCCCCGATGGTGAGACCCAGACCGGCTGAGAGACCGTTCCTCTCTCCCTGGAACCTCCTGTTGGCCGATCCCGCCTCCCAGGGTCCCCGGGTCTGGGAGGGGGCGGGGCTCGGCCTCGCGGCTTCGCCTGCGGCCTCACCCGTGGGTCCCCGCATTCCCGGCGAGCGTGTGGCCTCTATCGGGACCCGTACAAGGGCGGCCTCTTCGGGGCACCCTTGGGGTCCCAGGCACGGCGGACCGGGGCTGGGGCGCTGGGGCCACTGGCTTTGGGCAGTCCTCGCTCACGCCGCCCCGCGTGGCCTTTTCTCCGTTCTCCAGACCAGGAGCTTCGAAATGTCATCGACAAGCTCGCCCAGTTCGTGGCTCGCAATGGGCCCGAGTTTGAGAAGATGACGATGGAGAAGCAGAAGGACAACCCTAAATTCTCGTTTCTGTTCGGAGGCGAGTTCTACAGTTACTACAAGTGCAAGCTGGCGCTGGAGCAGCAGCAGCGTAAGTTTCTTCCGGCACTCAGACCGCCTCATCGAGCGCTTCCTTTCTCGGATTCCAGTCCGGGCTACACAAACCTCTTCTTTCTTTCGGGTCGTTTACTGTCTCTGAAGTGAAGCAGCTCAGTCCCCACGATTCCTATTCCGCTGTTCCCACGGCCTTGCACAGAGCGGCTGCCGGGGCCGACTGTAATGGAGAACAACGAGGTTATCGATCCTCCTGGGCTCTGGATCAGGGACGTTGCTATTGCTTTGCAGACTGAGGACTGCGATCAGCAGGAGTAGCGTGACTGTTCGAGTGTTTTTTAGGGAGGAAAGTATAGAGGCCGGATGGGAACCCATGGGACAGACACTGTCCAGCCACCTTTGCAGGCTCTCTGTGGGTTCAGCAAGGCTTTTGTGCATTTCAGTTGCCTGCAGCACAAATCCAAAAGAATTATGCCTCTAAGTTTTAGTTCTTGGCAAGCGTTTATCAACGTTCGTTCAGTTGGGCTACAGGATTCCAGTCCTTCTCTCAAAAAGGTTAAGGTGAGGTTAGGAAGCAGAGCTGGCCATTGAATAATGGATAGTCACCAGGTGTTGTGGCTGCTCAGGACAGGTATCACATCTGTCATGTTCTGTACCCAACCCCCAGTCTCTAGATACATTGTTTAAATGAATAGTAGGAGTTTGCCAGGTAGAAGAACATTGAGAGGTGGTTGTCCCCTGAACTACGTGTTCCCCAAGGCCAAACAGACCTTGTTTAGGTCATTGTGCTTTAATACATAACACATAGTCGGTGTTCGATTAAAAAGCTTGAAAGGAGGCTGGGTGCAGTGGCTCATGCCTGTAATCCCAACACTTTGGGAGGCCGAGGCGGGCAGATTACTTGAGATCAGGAGTTCAAGACCAGCCTGGCCAACATGCTGAAACCGTGTCTTTACTAAAAATACTAA